GCCGAGTTGAGATAACACACCCTGATCCAATATGCCGGCGGCAGTGACAAAGGGACTAACATCTGGGTGTCACCACCTAGGGTTCTGATTCTGTTAGTCTAGGGTAGACCCAGGAATCGATAGTTTTCCTTTTAATCTCTCTGGGTAATTAAAACAGGCAGCCAAGCTTGAGAGCCCCTGCGTTAGAGGATACAGAGGCTCAGGGTTGCAGTTCTTCTAAGTGATGCCGTTGGCATCGGTCTGATTTGTGGAACGTACTCTCTGTCTCTTCATCTTTGCATGCATTTCCCTGCTCCCGGAAATATGTGCGCTTTGGGGAATGGGATAGAGAGGAGTAAATGTAGTTTATTTGAAGTCCAAACTCGATCTACTCCAAGTGTGCTTGGAAACAGGGCAGGCTTTGGTCCTGCCGCTGGTCTCTCACCTGGAGCCCTGAACTCCGTCGTATATGCCACGTGCAGGGAGCAGGGATGGAGGAGGTGGCTCTGTCTTAGAAGGGCAGATCCTCCGTCACTGCTGTGGCATATTGAATCAGGGTGTGTTCGCTCAGCTCAGCTAGCCAGAGACCCTCACTGGACACTTTGAATGGGGGAAGGGGGTGTCACTGGTGTCAAGAATCCAGGACAGGAGAAAGTGAGTCTTGGTGTCAGCGGTGTTGTCCTCTCGAGAGCTGGTGTTGTCTGAGGTTCTAGCTCTGTGACCTTCCTCTGTCCCCATCTCATCTCCGTGTCTGTTTCTCCACTACTCCTGGTACTGTTGGGCAGTTTCCCTTCTCGTTGCGAGTCAGCTCAAGGTGTTTTCTGTCACTTGCAGCTTGCGGCTCAGACGGGGATGTCTCAGCACCACGGAGAGCTCCCAGGAAGAGCTGGGATGGTAGAGCTGGTGGGACTTTCTAATAAAGCCTTTCCCAGAGGGGCTGCCGTGTCCCTTGCCTTCATGAAATACACATGAAGCAGAATGAATAAAACAAAGCCCGGGTCAAATGATTCTGTTCTCCCGCAGCGGCTTCCCTATTATAAGGTTGATTTCTTCATTTCGTGAGTCTCTTTTCCATCTGCAGGCACTAAGCTGTCCACAGCAGCCAGCTTGGGAGCTGAAATCCCTGTTCCCCATAGTGGACAGCGAAAGCCTTTTTGGCTTTTTAACACACCCCAGACTCACTTTTTTTTTTTTTGCCTTTTTGCCAAATAGAGTCCAATAGCTAAGAGGTTCAGTAAATTGGATTTCCAGTGGTCCAAACTTTATTGTGACTATTGGGGGAATTTATTTGCTTTTGAGTAAGAGCTTTTTAAGCCAATTTTGAAAATTTCTTTTAAGAGTTACTTCAATAAATCTAGACTATTGATTTAGCCGCTGATGGTTCTAGGGTCCTTCTGGAGTCACTTAAGTGTTTAAATTTCTCTCTTTATTGCTCCAACAGCATCAAGCCCCATGTGCACTGATGTGGAGGGCTCTCGGTCCCTTCAAGGCAGCAGCTTTGCAAATATTTCAGTCTGCTCAGAGACAGCGGGAAGGCACTGACCACAGACAGAATTGCAGACAGATTTCTTCTTTCCTTGGTCCCCATCTGCCAGTGCAATGTGATGGCGGTACTGTGCCTGGCAGAGGCGGGAACTGAGCAAATGCACCGCACGCACGTCTGAGCGAATGTCAGTTCACAGCGCGTGGCGGTGACTCTGCGTCTCTGGTGCGTCTTGTTCTCTGGGGGCTCCTGGACCAGCCTAAACATGTCCTAACAGTGGCTTTAGGCAGCCAGCCCTGCCGTCCCTGAGCATGGGTGTGATGTCAAGTCCTGCTAAAAGTGAGAAATGGCTGACATTTATTGATGCTTGCTGATGCCAGTCTCTGTTCTCAGTGCTTTGACTTAGTTCCTTCATGACGACTCTATGAAATGGGAGGGGTTAGCGTCCCCACTTTGCAAATAGAGAAAGGGAAGCAGAGTTGTCCATGGTCACCCAGCCAGCATCTGGGAAGCCAGGAGTTGAATCTGTTTGAAAGCCCACAGCAGGAACCCTAACACGCAGTGTATTCCCCCGAAGGAGCCGTGGTTTCAGTCTCCATTCTAATCCCTAAGTTTCTTCCTCCCTCCTTCCCCCTCTAACTTCCTTCCTTCCTTCCCTCCTCCCTCCATCGTTTTATCTCTTCCTTCATTTCTTCTCTTCTTTTTCATTCTTTGAATAAAATGCTTCTTGGAGGCCTAATATTTGCAACACATCAGACCGGAGGTGCTCTTGTTGCAACTGGAGTGTGTTGGAGGACAGGGGTGAGGTTAGGGATCAGCCCAGGCCCTGTGGCGGTTGCTGTCTCATCCCCTGGGAGCACTAAGGATCCCGGGCACTGCAGTGGGAAAATCCCCACACGGCATCGTCTTAGCAGAGGCATCTTCCACCTCAAAGTCTCGGCACTTCCGTGAAAGGCTTCCTCCAGAATACAGCGAGACCAGGCAGACGTTTTCCTAAGCCAGAGACAGCAGAGATGCTGTTTGGGCTACATTGTGGCTACACAGTTAAGGCTTTTGCATTTAAAAATCCAGAAATTTTAGAGGAAAAACCTAGATTCCCAGCTTCTCTGGGAAAATCTTTTGCTATCCTTGCTTTCCAGAAGACAGCCGTCAGCAGGAAGGAGGGGACATGCCCCCTTAAGAGGGATGGAGGAAAGACCACAGGCACCAAACAGCCCTCTCTGCTCATCTCCACAAAAGGATCAAGTTTCAAAATGCAGTTTCATTTCCTTAAATTTATATATGTAACACTATGCATGTTTTAGACATGAAGATACAGCCTGTGTGGATTGGAGGAGGAGCAGGAAGGGACATGAATGAACAAAAATAAACAAAAGCAGGAGTCAGTTCTACAGCTTCCCAAAGGAATTCCTGGACTTTGAGTCGGAATGTTTAATCCTAAGGCCTCCCAGGGGCTCATTTCTCTGTCGGGTCAGCGCGTCTGGGCTTTTCTCTCACACACGTTCCCCGGGTCCCTGTGGCCACGGAACAGTCTCCTCGTCACCCGAGATCTCCAGCTCCCCAAAAAGCTGATGTCATTGTCTGAACCAGATGTGGGCTCCACTCTGCACCGGGAAGCTTGCCCCAGGGTCAGAATTCTGTGCAGCTCCTGGAAAGCTGAAGTTTTCCTCCAACTGTAAAGTTTGCTTTTTCTTTCTGTGCTGAAGCCAAGATTAAGTGGAGTTGGCTCACAAGTGGGGAGAGTCTGAGCGGGGAGCCACAGAGTGTTTCAAGTGGGTGCCTGCCGAGTCGGTCCCTCCTATCTGTGGTTGAAGAGCAAGCTGACACAAACGCGCTCGCTGGCTGCAAGAGCACCTGCGCTTGCGCTTGTGTCCACGGGAGCCTCAAGAACCGTGAGGGTTTTTATTGGGATTTGGAGTAATGTTTGCGTGGAACCTGGCCCAGTGCTGGCACATACTGGGTATTTCGTAAACAATAGCATGTTGTTTTTATTCTTATGTTAACGTGGACAAAACGCCTTAGCAAGGTAGCACCTTTGCTCCTGAAAATCACGTAACAATGTCTTTCAAGCCAGAAAGAAAAAGTATTGCACCTTCCTTAACGCCCTTCCTTAGCGTGATTGCCGTGGAGGGGGACGCAGCTGGAGCATGAGCAGTTGTGCTGGCTTCTAGAAAGCCCGGCCAATCTCCCCGACCCTAACTCCTAAGTAAGTGCTGGCAAACTTTTTCTGTAAAGACCAGCTAGTAAATATTTGAGGTTCTGTGTGTACACTGCCTGACGCAGTCACCCAACCATGTTCTTGGAACACAAAAGCAGCCACAGAAAAACATAAAAGAATGAGTGGGGCTGTGCTCCAGTACAATGTTATTTGCAAAAATAGGCAGGTAGCTGGATTTCATCTGCAGGACACAGTCTGCTGTGCCCTGTCCTGAAGAGGCTGTCCTGGTGCCTTGTGATGTCATATTTGACCACCAGCTGTCTCGGGGAGGTTGCTGTGCAGAGCGTCGGGCTGGGAGACGGGGGCGCCACCTGGCAGGTAGACTCTGCCCCTGCTGGCTGCGTGGCTGTGAGCAAGTCGCTTTCCCTTCCTTGGCCTTGAATTTATCGTCCAAAAAATAAAAAGTCTGGACTGTCAGTAGTTCCCCAAATATATCTATCTGGGCCCATCTCGAAGGGGTGGCGTTGGTCAGAACTCCTCAGTGCAGACAGCAGACTGCCCTGGCTAAGCAGTGCCTCTAAGCAGAAGAGTTTTCAGTAAAGGATGCTAAGCAATTCAGGGAATCTCTAGGAGAGCCATTGACCTGAGTTTACCCTGCACATCCAGGGACAGGGCAGCCAGGGGTAACGCAGGCCCAGAAAACGTCCAAGCTTTGCAGAGAACCAGGGTAGTGGGCACAAGACTGCCAGCCACGAGGCACAATGGTCTGGGGACCTGGATGCCTGGAGCCCCCGCACCCACCCTAGAAGAACCAGGACCACTGTGCTCACCGGAAACCCCAGCTCCGTTCCCGCTGCTGATTCGTAAGCCGCTTCCACCTCTGAGTCCCAGAGGGGTGGGTCGGACCGGGGGAAACTCTGCCTCAGTCCTGCTTCTAGCGGCACGGGAGCCTGAGGGTGCGGCTCACAAAGTAAAGGGGTACGTTGTGTTTATCATTTTATTTCGCCACTTGCTTTTGAACTTGGGAGGGGGGACGGTTAGTGCCGAGGTCATGCGGGTGTCCGCTGCAGGTAGGAGGCAGACGGGATTAACGCGCTGTCTGAAGAGCGGGTAGAAACCAGCCCAAGGGCCTCATGCGTGTACACGCAGATTAATGCTCTCAAACGCTCCCTCCAGACCCCTCACCTGCGAGTCCTTCTCTCTCCCGGCTGCCTGGCCCCTCACCTGCAGGGGGTTCCACATCCCAGGTGCCTCAGAAAACCCCGGAGCTCTCGCTCCCTGCAAGACGTTCTCTTTGTCCTCGTCTCGGGCACAAGTGAGAGTGAGAGGAGAGTCTCTAGAACAAAGTCCGCTGAGAGCCCTTTCTCCGCTGTCTTCCAGGAGCAGCAGCTTCTTCAACGAGGTCGTGCAGATGAACTTTGAGATCGCCAGCTTCAGCAGCCTCTCGGGGACGCAGCCCATCACGTGGCAGGTGGAATACCCGCGCAAGGGGACCACGGACATCGCCGTGTCGGAGATCTTCGTCAGCCAGAAGGACCTGGTGGGCATCGTCCCCTTGGCCACGGTAAGACTTGCGTCACTGCGGATGCTCCTGTGTTTGCGTCTTGTCGCGCCCCGGGCCGTCCCTGTCTTTCGCGAGGTGCTCGCTGCAGCTGTTTTACGGGGCGTTTATTTTCAGAATTTCCCATCTTCCCCCAGAAGTGGCTGCGTTCATGAGCCGGCCGTTCTCGACTTTAGTTATTCACAACCCCCTGGTGATGTTTACTACACCCCGTGCCAAACGTGTTGTTATTTACTTTCTTTTCTTCCTTAAGTCTATTCCAGTTATTTCTTCTGGTCCTTTTCTTGTAAGGAATCTTTAGAACACTGTGTGTGTGAGTCGTGATGAGGTCCGCTATCACGTGGCAACAAGCAACCCCAAAATCTCAGGTGCCTAGAGCGACACAAGTCACTTTGCTCACACTATGTGGCTTAAATGGTGGGGGCTCTGCTCGGTGCAGTCTCTCGGGGCCCCGGGCTGATGGGGGCCTGATCACTTTGTAGCTATCGCATCAAGAACACGTGGTCTTCTCTGTCACCAGGCAAAAGAACGGAGAGGTGGAGGGTCACATGCAAGCTCTTCCAAGCAGTGGCCTAGAAGGGACATGTGGCACTTCCATGCACACACTGCCGGGCAGAAGCAGCTCCACGGCCCCATCAAATTGCAATCAGGCTGGGACATGTGGGCAGAGGGAGAACTGGGCGAATGCTGCCATCTCTGCCTCGCTGTGGGATCAGGAGAACCCGTAGCATCGACACAACTAGAACGTAACTGTTAGAGCAAAGGCGGTGTGTCCAGAGCCACCAGTCCCTGTGGAGCTGGGGGTGCACGGGCAGGACAGTGAGAGGCCAGGATTGGACGTCTGCTCCTTGGCCCCTCACTGACAGTCTCCCACACCCCAGGACTATCCCCCAGGGCCCTCCTGTGTTTGCACACAAGTGTGACCAGCCCCTCTAGAGGATCCTAAGAAGATGGAGTTTCAGAGGCCCTTGAGGAGTGTTTCCGTGTGTGGCTACACCTGTCTTTGCCAGAATTCTCCCCCATAGACGGGGCCTGGCGTGGATATTCCAAAATTCATTTCCGTGCCGCTTTGGGGTAAGCAGGCTTCCTTGCCAGCAGGTTGACACATATATCAATTAGAACACTGCGATCTGCCGGCCCGGGGAGCCACCCTGGGGCAGGTGTGGAGTGAGGCCGAGCCTCGGTGTGGTGTATGGGGGCGGGGCAGGGGGGGAAACCTGGCTCCCACTCCAGGAGGGGGAACAGACGCTGGACACACAAAAACAACAGATGTCCCCCCAGAAGGGATCATCCGCCAACAGGATCTGCAAACACTTCGAGGTTGGAGAATGATTCCTTTTGACTTTCCATGTCCTAGAACAGAGGTTAACAAGCCACAGCCCGGGAGCCACATCCAATCTGCTGCCTGGTTTTGTACGCCACGCGGGCGAAGAATGGTTTGAACATTGTTAAATGTCTACATTTTGTAGGGTTCCGTTGAGCTACGGCGTAGGCTCAGTTTTGCCTCTTGGCTCAGAGACCCTAAAATATTTTCCATCTGCCCCTTTAGAGAGAAAGTTTGCAGACCTGTGTCCTAGAGCACATGCTGACATCAGTTCTAAGGGTGAGTGCCCAGTTCCCAACCAACCTGTGTCGAAAGGGTACGATATTCAAATACTTTGGAAAGGTAAAACCATCACGAGGATATGAGATGTTATCACAGCCCGTTTTCGAAGAAACATGAGAGTCCTTCTTGAAGCAACGTATTATTATTTTTGTGGGTTTTGTATTTTTGTAGTGCCTTTAAGGTAAAATGAAATGACTACAGACATCCATATCCAGAACCTCTGTTTGCAAGTAAATGCAATTGAACCCAAACCGGCTTTATCCCGACGTTCACTGACTGACAAACATCTCTGCAGCCCCAGCATAGGGCTCAGGGCTCCGAAAGCTGGATTCAGGTGGCCATGTGCTGTCATCACTTGTGTCCCCTAGAATACGGACCTGACCTCAACTCTGCAAAGGAACATGGAAATTAGGCAACACATGAGGCAGTTTGGAGAAACTTCTATTCCCCTATTTTCTAAGGTGTTTTTTTTTTAGAATAAACTTTAGTACATTAATAACCAGCCAAAAAAAGAAACTTTTATTGGAAGTAGCTAGCAAATAAAACTGTAGCTTGACTTAGACAAGAAATGATACAAAATGTATAAACCACTGAACAAGAGGCAAATCCCGTGTTGTCTGCTAGCAGCCGGGGAGACAGCTGGTTAGGGCCGAAACGATTAAGTAAATTTCCCAAGTTGTTTTCGTCTGAAAGAAAACAGACTTCAGAAAGGTAAAATAGGTGATTACCGGGTGGGAAATTTGCCTCATTGGGGAATGTCTTGCCTTAAAATCAGGACTTCTCCAGCCCCCGCCTAAACGCAGGGAGAAAGCAATGAATGGGATGAGTCATCCGCAGCCTTGTTGGAAAGGAGATGGGAGGAGCAGGGAAAAGTGCCCCCAGCTCCCCCACAAAGTGACCCGCTGAGGCAGAAGCCACCTGCATGGCGCTGCCGCCCCTGGCTCTATTTCACTGGAAGAACACTGACGCCCAGGCCACCACAGGCCCCTCCCTGCTCCAGGCTTGCCATGGAAACAGGACATCTCCAAGGGGGACATTGTAGGTCACAGGTGGGTTTAAAGATTCTCTGATTTGTGATTGGTTAAAGAAATGAAGCTTTGTCTAAATGCTTGATGTTTTAAGATAAGGAAGTCTGTAAATCACCGACAAGCCACCGGACATATACGAGACTCAAGTCACCTGTAAGTTGATGGCTTGCAGGTGTGGTTCAAGCTGTGTCCTGCGTGGCCTTAGGCCTGTTAGTGAGTCACAGAGGACATCTCCTAGAAGCAGGGGGCATGACAAGGGGTGTCTGACCTCCCTTCTCGTGGCCAGCAGCTTAGCCTTAGAGTATTTCTCTTCTAATTTGGGCAGGTGTGGGAAGAAGTTCTTTGCCCCGGGATTGATGTATTTTGTCCCGGATTGAATTTCTTGGGAAGTGGTGAAATTTACCCAGAATGTCAAAAAGTTTCAAATGATTGTCATTTTGCACCCTTTGCAAACTTAATGTGAAATCATTTTCGTTGACCGCTGAAACATGGCGGTAACTTGGGAGTTTTTTCTTATATAGAGCCTTCAAAATTCCTCGAACATGTTCCTATCTCTGCATAAAATCAAATTAAAAATAAAGTGGCAATCAGTAGGGCTGTTTAAGGGAGAGATTGCAACTTGTTCTCGAGTCTGCAAAATGATGATCTTAATTCTCACCTCTCTGGGATGTCATGGAGATTCATTAGGGTTTGAGAGATCCTGGGAGCCCCCGGGCGAGGCATGCAGCAGGAAAGGATTGTCAGCAGGGAGATGGCAGCCAGGGCCTCTGCCGAGCCTGGCCTGCCCTTCCAGACCCTTCCCTGCTCTGCTCCAGGCCCTGGCGGCTGACCTGCGTGCACTGCAGCCCCCAGGCTCCCTGGCACTCTGGCCTCTGGAGGGCTTTAGCCAGTGGGAGGTATCCAGGTAATTGGAGGAAATAGGTTAAGTTATGTCCCCAAGAAAATATGTTGAAGTCCTATCTCCTGGTGCCCGGGAATATGACCGTAGCTGGAAGAAAGGTCTTTGTAGATGTGGCCAAGTTGAGATGAGGTCATAGTGGATTAGGGTGAGCCCTCAGTCCAATGGCTGGTGTCCTTACAAGGAGAAAGATTTGGGCATGGAGGAGACTCGAGAAGAAAGCAATATGAGGACGGTGGCCGGGACTGGAAGTGCATCCATAAGCCAAGGAAAGAAAGGGCGTCCAGCCGCCTGCAGAAGCTAGGAGAGGCCAGGGTGCATTCTGACCTAGAGCCTTCAGAGGGAGCGTGGCGCTGCCCACACCTGGGCAGAGCTGGGAGAGAATCAATGTCTGTGGTTTGTGGTGCTTCTTTATGGCAGCCCTGGGACACCGTGCAGCCCCTCCCTCCCCTGACACACCTGACTGTGTCTGCCCGGAGCGTGGGCCTCTGTGCTCTCAGCTCCTGTCCTGTTGGGGAGTCTGTTTTCTGGGCTCCAGTAACTCAACTGCCCTCCCCCGCCCCATGCCTGGAGGTGGAAGCAGCTCCCAGAGGGGGCCAGTGTCTGGGTGCTGCACCGTCCCTGTCTGTTTCTTTCCGTCCTGCCCACAGCCCGGTCCTCAGTCCTTGGTTACACACCCTCCACATAAAGCCCTTTGAGCAGCTGTCGGTTTCCATCGACACCGAGGGGTGCCTGAGAGGTAAACGCTACCTGCTCCCTCTAGAGTCCCCTTCCCAGAGAACACACCAAGATTCTCCCCCAAACGGACACGACCAGGAAGCATCCCCAGGGTCACTTTCGTCCCCTCTTCATAGACAATCAAACCTGGAGGGACTTGTTGGGGTATCTCGAAGCCCCAGGGTTGGATTTTCCCGACAGCGGCACCCTGTGGTTACTTCCCTGCACCCTCTGCCTTTGCGGCGTCCGGAGTCGCAGGTGCGGAAAGCGAGGGCTCTGGCAGGGCCGTGGCTTCGCAGAGGGGCTGTAGCATCCGCACGTCGATCTGTGCATGATGGATGGCTTCACTCTGCTCCGGGGTCCGTGGGGACGCGTGCCGGCAATATCTTCCGTGTTCACGCAGGGCGAAGGCAGGCATTTCAAAGAACTCGAGGGAGATCTCCTTCGACAGGGATTGGAGGAATATCGTTTTTAGAGAGACAATGGAAAAGCAATGTTTTATTGTTTTTCAGAAGCATCCTACCCTGATCTCCCCGTCTCCTATTTTGACTTGAAGATGTTTCATCTGTAACTCTCTAAGAGTGTTTTGAGGATGCTGTCGATGCTCTAGGGCAATTGAAAAATGTTTGCTCGGTTGCAAAATAACTATATGGGCAGAATAAGTGTTTCCTTGTCACAGCTGGAGATTTACTTTGGGATTTGGTTTAAAAATATCCCTTCCTTCCAACTAACTGGCCCAGATTTTTGCGTGAAA